CAAGGTAATTCTGGGTTGGGCCAAGTTAGATTAAGGTAAAATAATTGTCAAGCTTTCCTGTCAGCAAAGACAGTTTGTTTTGGCGCAAGACAGCTCAGACTATACAGAAGATGTTTGATGCAGTGCATATGCCAGACGCCTCTTTTGTCCTCAGAATCTTACATAAAGGGATATTGGGATGTATTTGTATAAGAAGACACCTTACTGTACTTTTTTCATGTGTAAATAATATTCTGATTTAACATACATTCTACGTTTAAAGCTCTTAGCTATCTAACTGGGTGGTAGAATAACGACAAAAAGATCTACAAGAAAAAAGACTTGTGCAATGATATTCTATTCATAAACAAAACCTGTTAGGAAAAGCAGAACTCAAATTACAGGCCAGAAATAAAGGATTTTTTTTATTGTTCCTCTATTGACTTTAGATCTGCTTCTGTTTAAACACACCTATACTTATATAGCTGTATACAGGAAATATATATTTTTAAGGGTGCTCATTGTAAGTCTGTGAATGACCCTCAGTACTAAACTCTGGGTTCTAAATCATTCCTTTGCAAAGTATCTGTCTAGCACTATCATATGTATTGCTGTCAAAACTGAACAGAGGTTTTAATCCTTCACCACACTATCCAAAACTAAAAAAAGGTTTGGACTGGACATATACTTTAATGTTACAGAGGGTACAACCTAGCGATATTAGTGAATTCACAAAGGTGACCAGCCTAATTTCACCACACATGCCCAGTTCTTAGAAGGCTATGTATGCATCTGACTAAAACAAGAATTTAATAAAATGCTCAACTGCCAAGTGTTTGCTATGATGTTTAATTAAAAATTGGGCAGGCCAAGCACACAAAATGCATATGCCAGAGGCTGTCATATACGTATATAACCAAAAGCATTCTTATACCATAACAATTAAAGTTAGTTAGATTATAGCTATTAAAGTATGGCACTGAATAACCTTCTAATATGCTGCACATCAAATCAATGGGGTTGATTTACTAAAGGCAAATAGGCTGTTCACTTTGTAAGGGAATTTGCACTTTGCAGGGGAAGTTTACCCTTAGCTGAACATGCTCCAGCCAGAAAATGAAGTGGCCTCTTTCTAATATGCCGCAGCTTCTGATGCAAGCCGTTAGAAACCCCAAGTGTGCAGTAAAATCAGACTAAGAATTTATAGTAGAGAAACGGAGCCTGTACAACCGTGGAAGACTAAGGGTGTGGCTGGAGATCAGCTTTAAAGGAACTGCATAGTGGCTTAGTGGTTAGCTTTTTCTGCCTTGCAACCCTGGGGTCTTCTAAATCCCAGCCAGGACACTGTCTGCATGGTGTTTGCATGTTCTCCCTGAGCTTGCATGGGTTTCCTTCCACACTCCAAATATATGCTTGTAGGTTAATCGGCTCCTGTCTAAATTGGCCCTATTATGTGTATGGGAGATAGATTGTAAGCTCAGGGACTGATGTGAACGTGCAGAATGTAAAGCCCTGTTTAAATTGAGGGCCTGTTATAAAACTGACTTTGTGAATCTCTAGCTAGGTCATTATCAGTCGTGAGGCTCACGTGGCTGCAAATTATTGCACACCTGCCTGTGTGGTTCAACTCTAGGCATCTTTTAGAAAGGTACTCTTGTAAAAAAAATGTAATTGAAGAACTGATATACAGAGGAATACATAATTCACATTATCAAACAATGTCCTTTCCTGCTTGGCGAGCAACCAGAGTTAAAATCGTTATTTTTTAAATAAAAGCGGTATTGTGTAGAGAAAAAAACTGGATCCCCCTGTATTCTATGAGGTATTTATCCCTGCTCACTGTCATGGCTTAAGGAATAAACAGTGAGAAGATTTAGAAAATAGGGAGTGATATATGGATGACATTAGTGATGGTGACATCTTGGTACAAACTATTCTATGCATCAACTATTACAGTGTTTACCAAACTTTCATCAGCTATACATTACTGCTAGACATTTGCGGTGAACACGGGATATGTATGTTATAAATTAATAGCTAAAAGTTGCTATTTTTCAATTATTGTTCATGTTCCAGTTTAAAAAAGATATATTAATTGTAGGCACCTCTGGCAATATTGCCATAATTTACAATGTGGAGGATCTCACTATGTGTACTCACCACCTAAGATTTTCAGCTGGCCATCTGCCAAGCACCCTCTCTTTGGTCCGTGTAAGCTTATATCCTTTTCTAGAGTCTCATTCTCATGCACTTTAACAAGTGGCGAAACACGGTCACCTAATTCACTAAGCTATGTAAAAAAATCACTACATGCTCTACTCCTTTATTAAATCAATCCCATCACAGTAGTCCTCATTTTAAAATACTAACTGACCAGTATAAAAACTGCAAAAAAACATTTATTTGCTTAAGGGGACTGATTGATAAAACATTCACCCAGTGCATTGCTGGGCAAACTCCATTTGCAGGGGAATACTGCAGCTAAATGGAACTGAGGAGCCTTTTTAATTTCCTATGCTCCTCAGCTCTATCTAGTGGAGTGGGATAACGCCATGGAAACATTGTTAGCCCAGCTATACGCTGGGCAAGCGCTTTACACATCAGGCCCTTAGTGACTAATCAGTCTTTATTGTGCAGATAAAAACTAGGCCTTTCTCGAGTGTAGTATGATTTTGAGCATAAGACTATTACATCAGCAATTTACATTTGATAAATAAATCTCAAAATCAATGATTATAAATGGTCTCTGGGAGCAGGACAGAGTGACATAACACACCAGCACAACTAATGACAAAAAAATAAATATAAAATGACAATAAACATTATATATGAGGAGTTATGTTCACAGTTAATCTCTGAGTATATTGAAACAGTTTCCTATTGGTTCTTTTCACTCTGTTCCTCACTTAATGTCCTATCAAAGTATACATAGAATTTTACTAAGTGAGATGTCAATAAAAACAAAACCTCTGTCACAAGGTACCTATTTATTAAATAAAATATCTGACTCATGGATGACTAAATATATTCCTGTTTCTAATTGTTGTTGGATCATGACCAATAAAGTCCAGAAGACCCAGTTAGAACAGAAATAATCCATCAACATTACAATAAGACAGATTCTGGGCAATGAAGGAAGTAGTTATGTTCAATACTAATTTACAGCTATGTTCAATACTAATTTAGTGCTTTCACTTCAGTTTTGGGCTGCCGAAAACTGGTACTTTTGGTAGATAATAGAGAGTTAAACCAGCTCATGGTTTCTTTTGTCTCTCAAAGACTCCAGTGGAAAGAGATCCCAGGTCTTCCAACCTGTTGATCACATTAAGACCCTACTCTCCTACTAGCATTTTTAGTTTATTTTATATAAGGAAAAATGCAACAGTGGGAACACCATAGGTTAGACCGGAACACCTAAAACTCTAAAGTGGTCAAAAAAATAGGAAAACATGGTCTAAGTGGAAAAGTGAATTACAATAAAAACACAAAATAATTGACTGATAATACACCCTCGATAGGCTCATATTTAGTAGCTTCATTTTTGGCAGCAATTACAGCACTGAATCTGTGTGGATATGTCTGTACACTTTGCACATCTGGACACTGCATGTTTTCTCCTTTTCAAAATTGCACCAGCTCTGTTATGTTGCATAGGGATCACACGTGAACAGCCTTTTTTTATGTTCATACACAATTTCTCTATTGCATTGAGATATAGACTCTAACTTGGCCACTGTTGTTTTTAAGTCATTCTAGTGTAGTTTTGGATGCATTAGAGGGGATTCCTCCAGGATTTACCTGCATTCATTTTACTCTACACTCTCAAAAGCCTTTCAGAGACCATGAAAAAGTGCCCAAGCATTCCCATAGCATTTGCCACCACCACTTGCTTAGTGTTTACAATCGATATTGAAAGACTGGAAGGCTGATATATCACTGCTGGTATGGTAAAGCAGAATGAGCTGCTCCACAATGCCTGCAGCCAAAACGCCTGCAAATATGGAGGTCATAGAGGGGCCTGTTTTGTTCAAGTCCAATGTGTTAAGAATATGTACACATTTGAATGTTTATAGTGACGAAAGAGCCGCGGGTTGCCGACCCCTGACATAGGGCCATGAGACATGGCAAAATGAGGTGGCTGCTGTGCGGGCCACATTACAAGGTCCGGCGGGCCGGATTCAGCCTGCGGACCTTGTGTTTGCCACCCCTGCTCTAGCACAACAGCAATAATTCAGTTTATAACCTATTCTGCTATTACTCCTTCATCAGCATGTGGTGGTTAACATTACCAAGTAGCATTTTTGGATGATGATCTATACGCGGATTGCAGTGTGCTTTTATATGTGAGTTTTAGAAGTTTTTGATAAAATATTTTTATGTTATACGGGTTACACTATGGTCCTCTTTTGGTTTCTTTTGAGCTGAACTATAAGGTAGATAAATGGTATATTGCGCCGGACGAGGATTCGGAGGAAGAGACAAGTCCCATATAATACACTGTGACCTAATCTTTGTGAGAGGTCCATGAAAAAAGGTGATGAACATTCTTTTCAGAAAGCTGTAGCACATTGATAAACAGAGGTGGAGAGTTAATGAAAAACAGGATTTTAAAGAGACGGTCTTTGACACTTTTACACTGGAGAAGATGGACACTGGTATGATTGATCAGAGCTTCGGAGGGTTGGTTTTGAGGAGATAACGGAACATTAAAACACTGTTTATATATTAGCACTTTATATATGTTTACGTTGGTGAAATAACGGGACCTGGCCAATCCTAGCATCTGAATGCACAGAATGGAGATGGGTGCCAGGATGATGTAAATTTAGCATGCATACACAGGGGTTACTTCATCAATGGCTACCCAATGGGCAAAGAGAGAAGATGCCAGATGAGGAAAAAGACCAGGAAAAGATGACAGCAAAAGTGGACAGAATAACGAGGGGGAGCACGGAAAGTCTGCCATAATGTGCAAATTTCACTTAAGGAAAGCTGACAAATATGGTTCAGCAACACCTTACCTGTTGCCTGAGATGACTCTTTGCCCACTTTGTGAAGTTAAAGAGAGGCCAACCAATGCTTCACTTACATCCTCCATTCTCTCCACTTGCAGCAAAGATTCTGCACACAAAAATGAAAAAACAGTTGGGTTACCCTGAAAAATGAAATTAGTTTATTGGAATTTATTATTCCCATTATACAAATACATACTGTACATCACAGTGAAAAGACAGGCAAATTGGAAATTGTCCTATAGTAGTATGGATCTAAAATAGGCATTATCTGTGCAAAGTAGGGCAACCTATAATTTCTCTCAATCTTCAATGGTCAATTCTAATTTCAAATCATCATTAATGAGGCTTATGACGCCCGCCATTGTTCAGACATTTAGGTACATTACTGTCTGGGAGGGGTAGTCATTCTAAAGCTTTGAGGTTATAATGCTGATCAAATGTGAGACTTGCTGTATTCTTACAAAATTATGTCATCATGTGCAATAAGAGCTTTCTGGTGGACATGAAAGACAACAGGTAAGTGTACGTGGGCAGCAAGCATATTACTCAGAAGAGGTTCTGAACATATGTGGTACCTTTGAAGTGACACTGTTGCACATTTTGACATTTGAGAAAAGTTCTTCTGAGCATCAAAGTAGATCAATTTCAATGACATGTTTAAACCGCTAAATCTTAGTAATTGGTGCCAATTAATGTGACAGCTTTAACAATTTTTATGAGTCAGCATTCATGCTAAGTGCTAAATCTTCTGAAGGACTCTTAAATTGTATCTATTGAATTTAATCATCTCTTCAGATTTACTATTACCCATCAAAATATTAACTTTTAATTTTTAATATTCTGAGAAACAAAAACTGCACAACAAATAATATATGTTTAACCCCAACAAGAGTAGAGGGGTTTTTACTTAATAATGAGAAACATCTAGCTGAGAAATACTTGCTGAAGGTTGCTGTTGGTGACCTCTCCTTTGGAAAATTGTATTTTTTAGGCAGTGTAAATGATTCTGTAGCTTCAATAAATTATGATTCACTGACCTCAAGCAAGTATGCAGATCGAGATGACTGATTTTACCTTAACAACTCTTGATGCACACTTGTTAAATGGCACATGCTAGTCCACAACACTAAACCATTTACATATTCCTAAAAAGCAGTGGAAGAAACCTAAGGCCCAATGCTGGGCTGTTAAATCCACCCATGCAGTGGGTCCCCTGAGTCGTCGCCCCCCACCCCCTTGCATGGGTTGAATGGTCGTTTGGCTAGGGAAGAAAGGAAAATGTACAAATACTTATTCTTACTCCTTGCTCATGCAGTATTCCTCATCTCCCTGCAACCAGTCCCCTGAAGCTGCTTCACTTTGCTGCCTGGCCAGTTGCAGCTCTCTGATGTCATCAAGTACAATGCAGGACCAGAAATCTTGCTTTGTACAAGTGGACGATGAGGGTCCGGCCACATTTCAGAGAGAAAGAAAGGGGAAGAGACTGCCAGCAGTCAGAGGAGGGTAGATTTAGATAATTATGTGTACCTAATACTTACACCCCTAGACAAATGACATTTTACCCATGATGTGCAGGTTGACCCCACTGCATGGGTAAAGTTATTAACAGCTGGAGTTGGGCTTAGAAACAAGCCATTCCTGACCTCTGCCTCTGCTTGTACTGCAAAGTAATTAACTCTCAAAGATCACAACTAAGGCTCTTTCCGTCCATTTCTAACTGCTTAGAAACACCTTCTGTGTGCTTACATTAGAAGGTTAACAGGCCAAGTTTCTGGTGCAAGCAATAGGAAAAAATAAAATTTCTATGCCTCTGTTGTCAACTTAATTTTTTTTTTATCCATATTGCCTATACCTACAGAGGTGTGTGAGGGCTTGTTTTATAGTGCTTTTACTATAGGTTCTAAATATGTAAATACTTTAGTGTGCATAGTCTGGGCACAGGTTCACTATAAGGGTCCATCATTTAGAAAGTTCTTAAAAATCATCCCAGCAGCAAGCATTTTCACAAGTAGGTTAATAATAGCAGCCTACATACAGTAGATCTCTGTAAAAGCATACTTTAAGCAATTTTATTTCATAAACTGACAAAGTATGTAAAAAATATACTTAAAATGCACTTCTTTCTTTATGGTTTTAGTCTTTATCTATTCCATGAACATATGACACCCATGCAATAATTAACAGTCACATACTTAATGTGCCATTTAACTCTTTAGCTCTCCCATAATCCTTCGCACTAATAGACAAAACCATACCAGTAATGTACTGATACGTTATGAAGGTCTCTTAAGCAATGTTTTCACCCAAGATTCATACATTTCTTATACAATCTTGTGAACATGGTTGAATCTTAAGTGTAAGTTGTGTAAATCTTGGGTCTAAACATTTGTAAATAGACCCCAATATAACAGTGTTCATTATGTAGCAATAACTTACATACTTCATCTTTAAGAAATAACCCTTTCCATAGCTTTGTACTGCAACTGTTATAGATTGCTAACAAACTTTCTCACCATTGCCCTCAGCACCCAATATTGCCTCACCAGTGTCTATATAACATACGACCCCCATACTCCTCTGTTGCAGCTCTTTTTCGATTGTTCATACTAACTTCTGCTGCAGTTCTCCCACACTGTCTACAGTGTTTCCCTGTCCATACTACAGCCAACCGTCTGTTGCACTAAGCACTAAAAACTCTCTGATCGTCTTTGTACTGTACCGTAACCCCAAGCACACTAGCTTCTGAATTGTCACTACATTTTCATTGAGGTGTCCCTAATATTCTGCACTCTCTATTCTCCACAATGTTCTCCTTTCTGTGGTGCATTGTCTCCAACTGCTGTTGCTAGTGTCCTCTTACTGCTACAGCAGACAAAGACTTCTAATTACCAATGTGCAGGAGCCTCCTTAATGCTAAGCCCTGCCTCATGGCACAAACATGTAATGGCTGGTGCAAACAGCTGCCCCACTACTTCAGATGTGACAGTTCATGCAGAAACCATACACTGCTTTATTGCACAGTATGGAATCTACCAAAACACGATGCAGCATTAGACAACTGTTGTGCTGCTATGCCTTGCCTCACTGTCTAATCTCAAAGCCACAAGTTAGTATAAATGATAAATCTCCTGTCCCATTTTCCCCAACAGTCCACAGTCAGTTCCACCATTGCCTTCCCTCCCAACTGTACACAATCAATTCCTTTCTCCACACCTCAGCTACCCTGTTTCCCTGAAAATAAGACCTACCCCGAAAATAAGACCTAGTTTGGTGGTAGCATGTGAGGGGGAACTTGCAGGAGAGATGGTATCAGCCTGCAGGGACAAACTGTATTAAGGGGATGACAGGTGACTCCCTCCAGACTTCACCAACTGCTGTCCCCCTGAAGACACTGCTTAATGTAATAGTACCGTACCGTACTGTAATGTGTACCGGTAAATGGTACCGTACTTTACCACGCTGTCCACTGTCTGATGTCCCCACTGCTGCACCTCTGGTACCTCTGTCCCTGGTGGCAAAGGAAGCCGGCGCTGTAGAAAGCAAGGCTGCGGCAGCGGAGGGAGCAGAGTAGCATTAGCCGATATTCCTCTATAGCGCCAGTTACTGTGACAGGCAGAATGATACCAGATAACTTTGGATTGTTGTACATTTTGTTGCGCATTAAAAAAAAAAAAAGACATCCCCTGAAAATAAGACCTAGTGTGTTTTTTGGGGGCAAAAAAAATATAAGACAGTGTCTTATTTTCGGGGAAACACGGTACAATCAGCTTCCATTCTGCCTTCCCTATGTTCTGCCCACTATCAGTTTCTGCTCTTTCTCCCCTAGCCATGATCAGCCTGCCTTCAGCTTCTCCTTGCAACATAATTTCTCCTCACCTCATCCCCATGACAGGCAGCTGTTCTGCATCCTCCTCTTATGATACACATAAGCTGGTGCTCCTTTCACCCTCCACTCCATTGGTCCATAATCAGCTTCCAATCAACCCCCTTTATTCTCTATGCTCCATAAGCTGCTGCTCTGACTCTTCTTTAACACCCCTTAAATTACAGTCAGATCCCCTATGCCTCCCCTGTCACCCCTCTGTTTCACAGTCAGTTTCTGCTTGCCTCCATTCTTTCCTCCTCGGTGCATCATCAGCACCAGTTCTACCTCACCTCCTGATGTTCCACACTCAATTATCTGTAATTATTCCTCATCCCCCTCCCCAGGATCAGCTTCAGCTCTGTCTCTCCTGTACCATGGTCAGCTACCATTCCATTCCTGCTTCTCCCAAGGCTTAATATCAGCTGCAATTGAGATAGCACACTTGACCAAACAATACATGTCCAGTTTACATATTTTGTAACGGGGTAGGCACGCATACCAGTCTGTCAGCGATCATCCAGAGGCCCAAAAGCCATTTAGCCTAAATTATTACACACAGTCACTAGATTGTAATTAATCTACAGTTATAGAAATACAATGAAGAGTTAGAACAGCATTGCACTAATCTAGTATAGCACTTAGGAACAGAAGAAACACCATAGATGTGATATGAAGGTAGATGATTCCACAGCGAGGCAATTAGTCTTGTTATGTTAGGTGGCAGATCCCTTTAGTATGTGTAGGTCATTTAAGTCATGGCTCCTCCAGAGTGAGTGTATGTGTGTGTGTCAGGTCCTCCAATTTATATAGGTGGAAAATCCTCCTGTTAATGAAGGTAATAGATCCTCCAGTGTGTAGATTTTTGGGTCCTCCACTGTGCACAGGTAACGGATTTCCTAAAGAATATATAAGTGGCAGGTCAGTGTGTATGTTTTAAAAGGTCCTCCAATATAGGAGTCCAGGAATCCACCAGTGGGGTGGATGACTTTTCCTCCAGGGTGTGTGTTGGTGGTGGGTCTTGTGATCTGTTTATGTGATAGTTTATACTATGATCACTGTCTTCTAAATAACTGCGCAAACAGTAGAAAAATGCCCCAATCTGTGACTAATGACAATTACATAACTTTTAACATGCTTTACAAACACCCACTTACATCCATTTTTTTTCTGAATGAGATAATCACAGGAGGAATGCACAAAATATATGTAATCAAAATTAAACAGGAAGCTGAAAGACAATT